TGGTGGCACACGCCTTTAATCCCAGCACTCAGGAGGCAGAGACAGGCTGATTTCTGTGGTTTGAGGCCAGCCTGGACTCCAGAGCGAGTGCCAGGACAGGCTCCAAAGCTACACAGAGAAACCCTGTCTCAAAAAACAAAACAAAACAAAAACAAAAAACAAAAAAAGGAAGGACCCAGGGATGGAAAGTTCCTGAGCAATGGGAAGGAGCCTTACCAAGCACCTAGGCTACCAGTCAAGTCTGAGGATAGCCTACAAGAAAATATTGCCATTGTGGAACAGCAAAGTATTTGGTCAGTGGTCAGAGTATTCAGGAGGTTGAGAGTATATGAAGGAGAAGTTGTACCCTCAGGAGGTTTGAAGAACAATGGCCTACATAGGCTCAAAATTTCCTTTCTTGGTCCCCAGGAGATGGAACATTTTGAAAAGGATTAGGAAGTGTGGCCTTGATGATGGAGGCGTGTCCCGGGGTCTGGCACTAAAGGAGGACCCCGACTAACACGCCTAGCAATAGTAGACAGGATGCCTGAACTGGCCTACCCCTGTAATCAGAATGGTTGGCTTACCCCAACTATCATCATAGAGTCCTCATCCAGTAATTGATGGAACCAGATGTAGAGACCCACAAGCTAGAACCAGGCCATGGTCCGGAAATCCAGGCAAAGAGGCATCATACGAGCAAGGGAGGTCAAGAACATGATGGAAAAATCTACAGTGACAACTGAACAATGCTCATGGAAACATGAACTACAGACCCACAACTGGAGACTCCAGTGGGTAGTAATATATTTGCCTGGGCACCTGTACCAGTGGACAAGCCCTTTGGGTGTGGTTACATGTGCAGACTGGACAGGATAAAGGGAAAGGATCAGGGCTCAGAGAGCCCCTAAGGTCGAGGATTGCATCCAGGTAGCAGGACTGCATCCTTGGAGCAGGAACATCATGACAGTCGCTAACTGTTTTCTATGTAAGTTATTCCACCAATAAAACCCCCATTAATCATTCATATTGGGTCTGGTGAATCTGCCTTCCATATGTGGGAGACAGTTGTGAAGCTTGGATTATCAGAGGTGCCCCTAGCAGTAGGACCACGATACAAACCAGGCACATAAGCTAACTTGTTGGAGTCCATTCCCTGTGGTGGGATGCCATGCTCAGTCTTAATGCATGGGAGAGACATACAGCCCTGCCCCCACCTATTGTGCCAGACTCTGTTGACTCCTCATGAGACCACTACCCTTGAGGAGAGGACAAGGGGTGGGCTAGTTGGGGAGGTGAGGGAGGGTGTGAGGAGGTAAGGGGGTGTGAGGAGACAAGGAGGTAGGAGGAGGTATGGGAGGGAGAACTGTTGTTGGAATGTAAAACGAAATAAAAAAATAAGACTCCTGCCATTGCCTTCTCGACCGGAGGCAGGGAGCTCACTGCCTCCGGATTGTGGCTGGACATGTGAGCTCAGCTTTCTCGCTGTCTGCCATTCCTTTGCTCTGACACTGTGGCCTCTGACCCTCTGGAACTGTAAGCCCAATTAACCTGTTGCTTCTTTAAGTTGCATTGGATCTGGTGTCTTACTGCAGCAATAGAAAAGGAACTAATGAAGAAGTTGTTAACCAGCAATTGTCTGTTGCTGTGTGAGACCTGGCCATGTGGTTCTACTAGAAAGGCTGTTGAATTCTGTAAGTGGAGTTTGATGGGTCGACCTTGAAGGATCTTGGAAGACAGTAGTACTGAAGGCTATGAGAGGATTGGAGGCCCTGCTCAAGTGGGAAAGAGGACCTTCTTGGGATTAGTGTGGCAAAGAATATGACTGCTTTCTGCCCTCCTCTTGGCTCACACCTGAGAGTAGATTAGATAGCAATGGGTGGATTTTTTGGTTGAGAAGGTTTCAAGACAACCTGATACTGACTCTGCCACATGTTATCACTAATCACAATTTGAAGGTGTGCAACAAAAAATAGCAAGAGTGGGAGTCAAAAACAGGATGGGGAAACCCACAGCAACAGCTGACCTGAACAAGGGGGAGCTCACGGATCCCAGACTGATAGATGGGAAACCAGCACAGAACTGTTCCAGAACCCCTAAAGGAACATGTCAGTTTGGAGGTCTGGTTAATCTATGGGGCCTCTGGTAGTGGTTCAGTATTTATCCCTAGAACACCAATGGACTTTGGGAGCACACTCCAAATAGAGGGATACTCTCTCAGCCTGGACTCACAGGGAAGAGTCTAGGTCCTGCTCCAAAAGATAGGACAGACTTTGAAGATTCCCCCATGGAAGGCCTCACCCTCCTCACTCTCCCTGGGGAGCAGAAAGGGGTTGGGATAGGGGGTGGGGGGCACGGAAGAGGGGAGGTAGAGGGAACTGGGAGGGACATGTAAAAGAAGTTGGTTTCTAATTTCTAATTGGTCTAATTACAGTTATAAAACTTAAAAAAAGGAAAAATAGCAAGAGTGGTAAAAAAAAGTAAATACTATAAGTGCACTCTGAGGAGAAAGGACCATCCGGGAAGTTGGAGGCCAGGCTCATGCGGAAAGCCATAGTTATTAAACAGATTCCTGATCCCCATGAGAAGTAAGGGAAGGGTGCATTCATGGTCAGGTCCCACACAGCTAAACTTCCAACTTGTGGAAGGAAAAACAGACCAAAGGTATCTTTGTCCCAAAAAAGCAGCAACCAATTAAGGATGCTCAAAAGTGTATCACATGGTTGAGGGCTCCCCCAAGTTTTTGGCCAATCTTGGCAGTGATGTCTGTGTGAGGTGGCTTTAAGTCATGAAGGATACACTAGTAAAGAGGCAGTGCACTCTTCTTCCATGTTTATGGCGATGCTCCGAAGCCAGGCTTATAGAAGTGGTGTCCCTGCATGGAGGCCCTGAGAAGCCTCTGTGTGATGTTCTGAAAGTAAAGCCTGGATTGCACTGGAGCCCCCAAGATGCTGGAGATGCCAGACCCAAGAGATATCTGCAAAGGAGAGGGCAGACAGGGAGTTGAATCACCCCAAGTGAGAGAAATATGTCACAGGCAGCAAAACTGGTGGAGCCATCTAAGACCCTACATCAGACACAGAGATATAGGATTTGGAGTTTGCCCTCAAGAGTTTCAGGCTTGCTCTGGTCCAGTATTTCCTCACTTTGGCAAGGTCCATCCCTTTATGGATGGTAATATATGCTCTGTGCATTACATCTTGGAAGTCTATAATTTGCTTGTTGACTTCTACAGGAATTACAATGAAAGAGATTGCATTGAGTCTCATAAGAGGCACCGAAACAGGCTTTATCCTGACATGGAGACATTATCAGTTATGCATACACAGCCTTATCTTATGGTTGCCCTGCTAGTTCTTATAAAGTATTTTAACTTGTTTCTCTTCGTCTACATTTTGTCTCAGGGAATTTTACCC